TGTTGTAAGTGTGTGTTCCTGACCCGTCTGCTGCCAGTGATGAGCCATTATATTTTATACAAATGCCATGAGTGGTATTCCGATAAATAACAGATTTTAGAAGTAAAATAAATCCTTAGCTTAGTATTTTGATGTGTGATTCTCTGCAGTGTTATTAATACCAAGGAGATACAAATCTTGCATTATTCAAATATTGCCCAGTAATGTCCACTGGTGTTTTCTAGTGTTTGAGTATTTGCTGTAGATTACAGTTCTTTGAAAATAATAGCAGAAATGCAAAGAGAAGTAGATGGAAATGTTGCTGTAGAATACACTGACATGAAATCAGAAATGGATTTAAAATCTGAATTGGCAAGAGTAATACCTATTTCAATGACAAAATGAAAATCAGGGCAAAAAGGCAGAGTATTTTCACTGTTAAATAAAGGAGATGAACTAATATGAAGCAGTGTGTGTCTTCACGTGTGCATCAGAGGTGCTTAGGATGTTCTCTTAATGGGGACAGGTTCTCTCTGTCTCCCCTGTCCATCTCCATCCTAATTCAACCAACATCAACACAGAAAGGAAATAAAATTTTCTTTCCATGTCTGGAAAATTTGGCATGAAACAAAGATCAAGACTGTTGGATACTTAATGCTGTATAGTGTTTTTAAATTTTCTTTTAGAATGACAGAGTTTAAATATTAAGTATTTGTGGGCTTCCCTGGTGGCGCAGTGGTTGAGAGTCCGCCTGCCGTTGCAGGGGACATGGGCTCGTGCCCCGGTCCGGGAAGATCCCACGTGCCGCGGAGCAGCTAGGCCCGTGAGCCATGGCCGCTGAGCCTGCGCGTCCCGCAACGGGAGAGGCCACAACAGTGAGAGAGGCCTGCGTACCGCAAAAAAAAAAAAAAAATTAAGTATTTGTGATATTATCTTTGAATTTTAAAATAGGTTTTATTTTGGCATTTATTTTGTGTTAATGTTCCCATTTTTACTATTTTTTATCATCAAATGTTTGTATCTGGTTGAGATAATTTTTTACATATTTTTCAAATATATAGTATGTCATAATATATTGGTTCAAGTAACAATAAACCATGTATTCATTATTTTCTTCTACAGAGTACTTCTGAAATTTTTATATAAGAGATGACTCACTGTTTATTATTATGATCATGCATTATTATAAAAATGCATAAATCATATAAAATATAGAGTAATTTGATTTTGGAAGTCTGATCTCCCAACCTCAAATCCTGAGTATTAATATTTATTGGAATTTGGAGACATTCAACATTTTCCCAGTTTCTTGATTTTTCTTATGAATCAGAAAAAGATACAAATTTCCCAAGTGATGCCAAGAGGAAATTCCAACGTGGAAGCCTTGCCAGGCACTGTGCATTATGTCACTCAGTCCTCACAGTAGCCTGTGATGTAGAAGCATGTTGGCAGTTCCATGTCACACACGAGGAATCAAAAACATAGATGCAGAAGAGGTAGCACATTCATGACCACCTAGCTAGCAGGTGGTAGAGCAGGTTCCACCCCGGGCTGCCTGAGTCTAGAACACATGTTCTTAGCCAGTGTACCGTCTGCCAGGCAGCAGAGAAGTGGTTCCGGAGCTAAGGAGAAAGGATGGAAGTGGAAATGTGCACTTATATTTATTTCTCTCTAAATTCTGTAGGGCTTCTGGCCCAGGTACACAGCTTGTGTGGGTTACAGTATTGCTGTGAACTGGGGTGTGATGCAATTTGTTGCTTTCCAGACTGCAGTTCCACACTGTTGAACTTCCCCTATTCTTTAAAAGAAAGAAGATCTAAAGAATATTTATTCTCTAACTTCATTTCAACAAATTACTCTGCTCCAGAGCAGGCCAAGTGAAGTGACAGATTGAGGAATGAGCCCATTTCATTTCAGAAAGGGCCCGTGCCCGTGGCAGGGAGCAGTCAGGTGCTGGCTGCAGAGATGCGTTGCTCCCCCGACTACCTCAGCAGCCCTCTTCTGCTTCTGGTTAGACCTGTCTTACTCATGTGTCTGTCCCATTCTCTGATTACGTTCTGAGTTCACTCCGGCGTGGTGTGTCAGCCTCACTGAGGAGGAAAGAACAGTGACTTCACCTCTTTTTTGAAGTTGTCATTTTATTTTATTTTAGAATCTTTACAGTTTACCTCTTTCTGCGTGCCAGAATGCTGCTTAGATCAGCTGTTAAAAATTTCCCAAATTCTCTCTCTGGAAGTGTCAACAAAATCACTGATTTGGTGTGAGCTGATCAAATTTCTAGAATTTCAGGATTTAGGAAAACAACAATACAGTGTGTGAAATTGTGGGGTTAGTTGCCCAGAGATTATGGTTTTCTTGCATGATGACATTTGCTAACGTATTGAAGGTGGAGTTAGACAGATGGCTTAGTTTAATACCCATAGCATTGGGACATTGATTGCAAGGTTAGGAAATATCCTACAGATGCATCCCATAGAGTATTGTGGTTTTAAATACCTTACAAGAAATTCAACTGTGTGTATGGTGGTTATGAGCTTTGGACATGACAGACCTGATATTTTGTGCTGCTCCTTGTGTCCTGTGTGATCTTGGACCAATTGCATAGCTTGTCTGAGCTTTTTCATCTTTGAAAAGTAGGGAATATAAAACTTAAGGTTTGTAAGATTAAATGAGACATGTAAAGCTCTTAGTGCAATGTATGTGGTACACAATAGACACTCGAGAAGATTGCCCATTTATTTATTTATTGAGCACCTTTCTGTGGCTGGGTAATTTCTGAGGATGATGATACAGTGATGAGCAAGACAAACAAGAGTCCCTTATCTTAATGAGACAAGTAGGCAAGAAATTATAATAATGGGGTAAGTTCCAGCACTAGGGATTACAGGGTGCTGGGGAGCACATAGGAGGGATGGTTAAGGAGAGCCTGGGAAATCAGATAGAACACGGAGGAGGAGAAAACAGTTTCCCTCCAGACGGACCCAATTATCTGAGTGAATTCACTGAAAAGCCTCATACATTGATAGCCATCAGAGTTGTTCGTTTTTAAGGAAAAGGAAATAACACACAAGTGTGAACCAAATAACCACCAAGTATATTGACTTGGGTGTGTACAGTACAATTCAAATGTCCAAGTAAGACATAAGTATAAGTCAGTAAGATATCCATATAGTATGGGTTCGACCATTTAAATGCTCCCATTAAAAAACAAAAACAAAAGCAAAAAAAAAACCCAACCCTCCCTTCCCTGGCCTGTATATTGAAGTTAATTTCAGTGTGTGTTTGATGAGTCATTTGTTAACACTACCCACTATATTATGTTAGAAGGCAGGGAGGTAACCCTGAGGGCAGTTGCTGTCTGGGGGTCTTTCCGAATTTGCTCATCCTCACTAGATGCCCCTCTTAAGCACCCTGTGTCCTCTAGTGATGGCACTTACCCCACTTACTGTGATTTCTCACCTACTTGTCTCTTTAAGGTACAGGGCTGGGTGTGTCTTGTTCATCATGATATAACCATCCTCAAAAATTATCCAGCACACAGAAAGGTGCTCAATAAATATTTATTTGTTAAATGGCTCTGCTTCTGCCTTTGATCTAAATCGAAATGAAGGTTGCCGGAAGAAACTAAATCTTAGTTTCATGTAAAAGTTGTCAGCACAGGGTAGAGATAGCTCCAGGTGTTGCCCTAGGAGTATGTGGACTTTGTGCCACCAGTGTGCCACCAGGAGGCTTTTCCTGATCTGCTGCTCTTTTTGAGCGGTGAGTGGCTGGAAGAGTTGTGCACTGCCTGAGGGAGACTGCAGTGCAGCCTGAGCTTAGAGGTAGGACAGCCCTCCGTTCAGTTCCTGTTGCCCAGCTGTGTAATCTTATCACTCACGTAAAGCCTCGGTTTCCTTATCTGTTCAATGGGATTGATGATAACAATACCACTAAGAGTTAGTGTAAAGATTGAGATCATATGTGTAAAAGCTTAGCCAGTGCTTGGCACGTAGTAATAGCTATTAACTTAGGTTTTATTATCACTGTAAGTCATTTGCGTTTTGTTTGTAAGGAATAAATCAACTATCCTAGTGTTGATAAGTTACTAAAATGTGAACCACTGCAATATTTCTTGGTAATATCAGTGTGGTCACCTGGAAAATGCATGGCTCAGATCTCCTGCTGTGGGAACATAATTGACTGACAGCCCCAGTGGCTTCCCGCAGCATCCACGACTGCTTCGCACCCAGGTCATGCTTCGCCTGGGCAGCTCCCAGCCAGTCACTGGGCACAGTGGGGCTGCTAATGCAGGCCCATTCCTGCAAAGTCTAAGATGCCTTTAACAGGTGACCTTGGCTCAAGGACTCCCCATCAGCCTGGTGGAAACTTCCATAAGGCTGTGTTGCAGTCTGAGACACTGCCTCCTTCCTTCCCTCTCCCCTTCACGGGGGCCAGACCTGTACTGCAGTCTGAGCCTCTCCTTGCTTCCTCCAGGTTCCTCTCCGTTTCCCTTACTGCCATTTCCTCCAGTAAACCTCCTGCTTGTCTTGGTGTCCACTCCTTGGAGGAGCTGGACTTACACAATGGTTATCATAGTTGTTGGAAGGGAGTAGCAGTCTACACCCTTGAGCACAGAGAGGATATGTTTTCCATCAAGTATGAAGCAGACATTATTATAATGAGTTTAACTTTGTATGTTATTGCATTTCTTCAGAATTAAAATTTGGTGTTTCTGATCATAAATTCTCTAAAATAGGCATTAGCCAACATTTCCTCAGGGAAGGCTGCTCACCTTTAGGACCTCATACTAATCTGCAGATTAAGTTCTAAGACTGCCCTTGTTTAGGACAGTCCTCTATAGCGCCGGGTCTTTAACGTACGTTATTATTTTAGTCTTTAACCTTCATGAACCAAAAAAATCTCTCCAAAAAAAGGTATTGATAGCTCTTCACTGTTTATCTCTTTTTATAGTCTTCTGCTGATTTCTTTGGTTTTCTTATTTTCTTTCCTAAATCCTCACTTGACTGTTACTTTTGTGACAGACCAGGTCCAGGGAACAGTCACCATCCGGAACATCAGCGCCCTGTCATCAGGTTTGTACCAGTGCGTGGCTTCTAATGCCATTGGGACCAGCACCTGTCTTTTGGATCTCCAGGTTATTTCTCGTAAGTATGTAAAATTCTGATGTGCACTCTGGGTCTGAATGCCAAGATCTTTGTTAAACTAGGGAATGAAAAGTTCTGCTTGTTTAGAGGTTGTTTGAAGATTAAATAGAAATGCTTTTGATTTTAATCATTACTGAAGATATTTAATAGATGTGTTAGTATGCTTCTCAGCCTCAGCAATACGACTTCTTCTTTATGATAAAATGTCTCCCCAGGATCATTAGAATCAGATCAGTTTGATTATATAGTGCTATAGGCATATTAAAAATTTGTAATGATCTTACGGTCATGGCAAGACCTTCTTGTATTTTTCCCTAATCCCTTATATCTGCTTAAATGTTGGGTGCCCAGGTCATACATAAGCAGTGCAGAAATTTTCTCTTTAGTTGAGAATTCTGGGTTGTTTGAATTCCAGTTGCAAAAGGGAATGATCTGGCTGTGATGAGGTAGCAAGTTATCCTGCTGCTTGCCAGGTTCGTTCGGGGCAGGTCAGGCAAGTAGTCAGGTACGGTCTTTCTCCTGCTCTGCCCTGGTTGTGGCTCTCCTACAGCTGTTCGTTTATTGAACGAATTGCTCATTTATTCAGTAAATGTTTGTGAGCCTGTTGTGTGTTAGTCCTAGCCACTGGGGATACAGAAAATTAAGTGAGGTTTAACTTTAAATGGATACAATACTGTAGGCAATTTTGTACATTTTAAGAAAATTCTTTGGTAGCCTTTTATGTTTATGAAGTTGTGTGAGCATATTCTATTTCTCTTTCTCTCTCTCTCTCCTTTTTTTTCTTTAAATATACCTTAAATATATTTTGCAGCCCAGCCCAGGAGCATTGGACTAATAGCTGGAGCCATTGGCACTGGTGCAGTTATTATCATTTTTTGCATTGCACTAATTTTAGGGGCATTCTTTTACTGGAGAAGCAAAAATAAAGAGGAGGAGGAAGAAGAAATTCCTAATGAAATAAGGTTTGTGTGTCAGATAATTTATCCTGACATTGGCATAGCCAATGTCTGTATTTCTATTCATTTTGGCAGCTAAGATTTCTTTGCTAATCTTATGACTTTAACCAAGGTAGTTAAAGTGGCCAAATGATAGTTTCTTGTATGTTATATCACTCTTCCTCATGGTACTTACTCCTCAGCTTTATTTACTGGATCATGAAAGGCGGGAGGTGGGTAGGGTAGTCTAGCATGTGCCCAACTAGGAGGACACAAGTGAAGAATTCCCCCGTTTCCTCCCATAGCTTCAGGGTGGGTGGGGTTAGGTGGCTGCCATAGTAGAAAAGTGAGTTTAGAACATGTGTTTAATATTGACATTTATAAATGATGCGAACATAAAGCAAGAAAGAACAGCACCTGTACAGATAGACCAAAGCAGTATGGCTTGGTTAAAAACAGTTCAGTCAAGAATATGAACATCTTAAGGAAACAATGTCAAATGATCTTGAAAGAAAGGTGACTCTTGCCGTATTGTGGAGATATGGGGGTTCAGGCTCAGTCTTAGATGGCATCGCATCAATAACCTTATTGAAAATGCTTTAATGACTCCAGTCTACTTAGCATGACATACACAGCCCTTCAGAATCTGACCCTTACCTGCTTCCCTGCTTTTATCTCTCACAACTTCCCTGATCACTTTGTGTTCCAGTCTGTTGTTGTCTTCTCTCATGCCTCAGGGCCTTTCCGGTAGCCTCCACCTTGTTCCTGGACCATATACTCCTTCCCTTTGCATCCATCTCTTCAGTACATTCCTTGGTCTGGTTTAAGTCTAGTCCAGGCATCACCTCCTCACATAAGTTGACTTATCCAGCCTTTAAGACTTGCAGATGTTCTTGCATTGATTGTCACCCTCATTTGACCATAGGCTTCTTGGGTAGAGGAGCTGTCTTTTTCTCACATGAAACATCCAGTAAAATGCCTGGTACTCAGGAAATGGTAATTGAATTAGTTAACATCTTAAATTAACTTAATGACTTCTCTTAGCCTCTTATAATTCTTAAGGGTTTGGACCCTATGCAGGGACAGATTTCATCCCAGTGTAAGATTAATGAGGAAAACCTCTCATCAGCATACGACAGTGATTTCTCAAACCCCAAAAGGCAATAAAATCAGGCCAATTCTAATAGTTTTTTGAAGTTCCTACACCCGTAGTTTGGTTTCCTAGCTTTACAGCAGCTAGTTCGGTGGATTTCTTCATGGACTATTTTCCTATTTAGAGAGAGAAAAAAAAAATATATATATATATACACACACACACATATATACATACACACACACATATATTTTTCAGTTATATTGGAGGACACAGTTTTTGAGAGATTTGATACTACTTTCTTGGTTACTCTTGGGGACTGAGAAGCTGAGGGAGAATTTTTCCTAAGCATTGTCTTAAAGGGAATGAATGTCAAAGCCGAGGCCACCAGGACTGCCGTGTTTGCTTTCATGATAGTGTGGTCTGTCCTGAGAGTTTGAATTTCACAGACATATTCACCTGAACATGGGAAGGCAGAGTCCTGGGCAGGTAGGTAGGGTAAACCTCAAGTAAATCCTAATAACAGCTTTATTTTTGTTCGTTTTCAGAGAGGATGATCTTCCACCTAAATGTCCTTCTTCTGCCAAAGCATTTCACACCGAGGTGTCCTCCTCAGAGAGCAACACATTTACCTCTTCCAATACCTATAACAGCCGCTGCTGGAGCAACAATCCCAAAGTGCACAGAAACACAGAGTCGCTCGACCACTTCAGTGACTTGCGCCAGTCCTTCTCCCTCCACTCGGGCCACGCCAACATACCATCCGTCTATGCCAACGGCAGCCATCTGGCCCCAGCCCCACAGAAGACCCTGGTAGTGACAGCCAACAGAGGGTCATCACCGCAGGCCGTGTCCAGGAGCAATGGCTCAGTCAGCAGGAAGCCCCGGGCTCAGTACACACACTCCTACACCATCAGCCAAGCAAGCCTGGAGCGCATTGGTGCTGTCCCTGTCATGGTTCCAGCCCAGAGTCGGGCTGGCTCCCTGGTCTAGGACGCAAGCAGATGGAGTGTGCAGAGAAGAAGCAAAGGGAGCCCCCATTCCAGCGGGGGGCGGGGTGGTGGCGTGTTGGGAAGGACACTTTCCTGACAATGATCCTAGTAAAAAGCACAAAGAAGGAGGCAGGGCTGTGACCCGGCCACTAAGATTGGTAAAATGAACTGGAATGCTCCGGCATGAAGACTTGTTCGTTCCCCCACCCCAGCTGTCCCAGGATTCTGTTCAAAACGCTGGATCTCACAGATGTGCCAAGCCAAGGAAAAAGGTAGAAGAGCAGAATAGCATTAAAAACCCAAACTGCAGTCCAGATGGGCTTATTTTTTAATTCATGTCTAACGTAATAATTTTTCAAGAGACTAAAGTGCCAGATGGAGTTTAAATAATGAAATTATTTAAAAAGATAGGTGTCTTTAGAAACATACTGAGCAACCCTGTGTTACATCCTGCCTTTCCCCGTCCCCTCTTGATGTAGGGGGCCGAATGGCATAAATGGCGTATACTGGTCCTAGCAGGGCTGGCTTTTGTATCGTAGAATCAAAACTTTTTACACCAACAGAATTCAGTAAGGAATGGGTGAAAACTATAAACTTCTTTGAGGAGCCCCTTCATATTTATTTATTTATCTCTTCCTGGACCATGAATTTCATATTTGGAATATTGCTATATTGACAGATTATTGCCTGTCTATGTTTTTCTAGGGTCTGTTATAGGTCCATGACAGTTACTGTTCATTATTTCCTGGGAAAATATTTTTTAAAAGAAAACTGTTGTTTTTAAAAAAAACAAATACGAGAGAGGCATTGGGTTAGGAAGGAAAAGACTACTGTCAACGCCACGTCCAGTGAGCTTGTTCGTGGAGCCCGGCAGGCGGCAAGACCTAGGTCGCGCAGGCAGCACAGGAGCAGGGAGGAGGGTGGAAGGGAATTCCTGGCAGCCTCTCAGAGCAGGGCCGCCCAGGTCTCCCTTGCTGTCACACCAGGTTACTCTTAATGAGGGCAGCACCCCATGCCTTTGTACTGCGGTAGATAACTTTCTCCTTGTTTGACAAGTTGAGGTTACTGGGTTGTTACAGGGAGGGCAGGAGTTGCTTTGTTTTTGTTTTTCTCAAAATGATTATTTTTGCAAAAGATAATACTGAGACAAAAGGGATGTCTTCAGATATGCTCCTGGGAGGCTCTGCCCTGTTCTCGTCACAGCTCAGGGTTGCAACTTTGCCCAGATGAATTTTACACCACTGTAAAGAGATTCTTTGTGATTAATTACCTGGCCTTGGGAGTTCACCAGGTAATTTGCAGACTCTCCGCTCTATTTGTGCTCTGTAGATCTGGCTGTGCTTGTATCGGTGACTCTCTCGCCTTAATCACACTTTAAGCAACACAAATGATTTCTTCCCAGATTTGTTTCCTAAATTATTTATGATGCTGACCCCGGGATTGGATAAGAGCATCTTTTCTTTGCCCGATGTAGTCTCTCATTCCCTCTTCCCACTATGCTTTTGCCCTCTTTTCCTGCAAGCACAGTCGTCACAGGAAGTGGCCTTCTGGTTTTCAGACTTATTTGAATAATGGAAACCAACAGCTGCTGCATGCACTGTTTTTCCAAGAGGGCTAAGCTCAGAACCTAACCATTGCAATCATTCCAATATTGATGAAGAACTGAATTTACTTTAGCATTACTTATTTTTTCCGTTTGACGGTTCTTGACTTTGTAAAAATTTAAATAAATGAATGTCTATACCTTTTATAAAGAAGAGTGAAAATGCCATGACAGATAAGATGATACTATCAGATGTTGTTTAGAAAGCATTTATCTTGCATTTCTTTATTCTTTCTAATTATCTAAAATTCAATAAAAGTTTTATTCATATAAAAACAAGTTGTCATTAATTATCATATACTAATGAATATATGATTTTGTACTTAGTGTTCTCTTAGTGTTGTAAACATTTTCCATTCTGTTAAATAGTATTTATAATAACTTTAATGAGCATATAGTATTCCAAAAATTACTTTACTCTTATCATTAGAAATTTGAGTCCATTTATCACATGTGTGATTGAAGATGTGATGATCCTTTTCATACACTGAGTCATTTTCCTGTTTCTTTATCTGGAAGTTCATGAAGACAGGATCCATGGCTATCTTTTTCACCCTATATCTCTGTCACCTAGCACAGTGCCTAATATGGGTATTGAGTAGATAAATGATGATTTCTGAACTGGAGTTGCCAAGTTTCAGTTCAGAAAGTTATGGTCGTGATTGTAGCTCTTGATGTATATTGGGTCATTCCTTTAACTTTTTATTTGAGATAATTATGTATTTACATGCAGTTTATAAGAAATAATAGAGATTCCCATATACCCTTCACCTAATTTTTCCAAAGGGTAATATCTTGCATAACTATTATACAGTGTCACATACTGATATGGATACAATCCATCCACCTTATTCAGATTTCAACATTGTACATGCGCTGCTGTGTGTGTGTGTGTGTGTGTGTGTATGTGTGTGTGCGTGTGTGCACATGCGCACATGTGCATCAGTTTTATGGAATTTTATCACATGTGTAGATTTGTGTGGCCACCACCACACTCAGGATACAGGATTCCTTGAGTTATTCTTTTATAGTCATAGCCACCTCCTTCCTCCCCAAGTCCATAATCCCTAATCTCTTCTCCATCTCTATAATTTGTCATTTCAAGAATGCTGTATGAGTGGAATCATGTAGTATGTAACGTTTGAGGATTGACTTTTTCTCACTCAGCATAACTTTCTCGAGATTCATCCAAGTTGTTGCATGTATCAATAGTTCATTCCTCTTTATTGATGAGTAGAATTCATGGTACAGATATACCACAGTTTGTTTAACCATTTACCCACTGAAGGGTATGAAGGATATTTGAGTTGTTTCCAGTTTTTGGCTACTACACATAAAGCTGCTGTGAACATTTTTTGCAGGTTTTTATGTAAACGTAAGTTTTCATTTCTCTGAGATAAATGCCCAAGTGTATAGTGGCTCCAGCACTATTTATTGAAAAGTCTATTCTTCCTCCAGTGAATTGCTTTAGCACCTTTGGAAAAAATCATTTTAGGCGTATATGTGTGGGTCTCTTTCTGAGTTCTCTAGCTATTCCTCTGATTTTTGTGTCTGTTCCTTCACCAATACTATGCTGACCATTGTAGCTAATTAATAACATTTAACACCTAGTAGAGTGGTTCCTCGTACTTTATTCTTCTTTTTCAAAATTATTTTAGCTATTCTAGGTCCTGTACCCTTTCTATATAAATTTTGGAATAAGATGGTCTATGCCAACAAAACACCTTGCTGTTTTAATAGGAATTGCACTAAGCCTATAGATCAGTTTGGGAAGAACTGGCATCTTTACTATATTGTCTTCCAGTCCATGAACATGTTTTGTCTCTATTACTTAGGTCTTCTTTGATTTATTTCATCAGCATTTTGCAATTTGCAGGATACAGATCCTGTACATGTTTTGTTGGATTTATCCCTAAGTATTTAACCATTATGTAATGTCTCTTTTTATTTCTAGTAATTTTTTTTTGCTCTGAAGTCTACTTTCTCTGATATTAATTTACCACTCTTGCATTTAAAAAGTTAATGTCTGCATACTCTTATAACATTACTGTCATTGTATTTGAAGGGAGTTTCTTATAGACAGCACATTGTTGGATTATATTTTTGTGTCCACTTTGTAAATACCTGTCTTTTAATTAGTATATTTAGACCATTTACATTTAAGGTAATTATTGATATGTTTAGGGCTTAAAGCTGCTATTTTCTTTTTTGTTTTCTGTTTTTTTCCTCCTCTATTTCCTATTATCCATTTCTCTTTTCTTACCTTATTGTGGGTTACTTGAACAGTTTATAGGATCTCTTCTTGATATATTTACAGTGTTTTTGAGTATATCACTGTATATTTTTAAAAGTTTATTCTAGGTATTACAATAAGCATATATAACATATCACAGTCTACTTGTATCAAGATTTTACCACTTTGAAGTGTGAAAACTTACTTCCATATATATTCCTTTTCTTTCCCCACTTTTAAATATCTTTATCTTGATAAGATAGTGTATAATTTTTGTTTCAATCATGAAACATAAAAACTCATGAAAAATTTATTGTATGCACCCATATATGTGCTCTTTTGTTTTTCTTTCTTTTTTCCTGTTGGTCCAAGATTCCTTTTTTTTTTTTTTTTTTTATCATTCCCTTTGTGTTTGAAGAACTCCCTTTAGCCAATTTGTAAGGGTAGGTCTGCTAGCAAAAAATTCTATTAGTTTTCTTTTGTCCAAAAATGTCTTCATTTCCCTTTCATTCCTCACTGGGTATAGTATTCATGGTTGACAGTTCTTTTCTTTCAACCCTTGAAAAATTTGGGAAGTATTGAGCCATTATTTCTTAAAGTACTCTTCCAGCCCCACCCTTTTTCTCAAATCTTTCTGAGACTCTGATGATGAATCTTTTGTTATTGTTCCACTGGCTCCTGAGGCTCTCTTCATTTTTTCAGTCTATTTTCTCTCTGTTGTTCAGAGTAAATCCTGTTCATCTGTCCTCAAGTTTACTGACTTCTGTCTTCTGTTGTTTCCTCTCTTCTGTTGAGCCCATCCAGCAAGTTTTTAATTTCAGTCACTGTATTTTTTAGTTTGATAACTTACATTTGATTCCTTTTTTAAAGAAAATTTAATTAGTAATTTAAATTTCAACCTATATTATATTGAGATATAACTTACATAACAAAGTTCACTTATATAAAGCATACAAATCAGTAATTTTTAGTATGTTTACAGAGTTGCACAGTCATCACCAAAATCTAATTTTAGGACATTTTTCATCACTCCAAAAAGAACCTGTACCCACTGACAGTCACTCCTTTTTCCATGCCATCTTCAGCCCCGGGTAACCACTGATCTACTTTCTGTTTCAATAGATTTGCCTACTCTGGGAGATTTCATATAAATGGTGTCATACAATATGTGTATGTTTTTGTGTGTGTGTGACTGACTTAATTTACTTACCATAATATTTTTTAGGTTCATCCATGTTGTAGCATATGTTATTACTTCATTCCTATTTCTTTACCAAGATTTTCTAGTTTTTCAGTTAGTTTCAAAAGAATTCATAATTGCTTACTGAAGAATTATTGAAACATTTTTATTATAGCTGTGTTAAAAATCTTCTCTGATTTGTCTTGATGTTGGCATTTATTGACGATCTTTTCTCATTCAGGTTGTGATTTCCCTGGTTCTTAGGGTAATGAGTGACTTTTAATTTTCTCTTGGACAATTTGGATATTACATTATGAGATTCTGGAAACCTTTTAATACTTTATTTTATTTTTTAGCAGGCATTCTCTTTGTGGAGGTGTAGCACAAGGACCAGATGGGTGTATATGTTTAGTTGCCTGCTAGGCTCCACCTCAGCAAAAGTGGAGTGTTTACATGGTCTCTCTGCAGATGCGGGGGTGTAGAAGGATGGCTCCCCCTCAGCTCGATTTCCCCTTCTTGGTGAAAGTGGAGCACACCATGCTGTTGCCTTCAAGTGGAAGTGTAAGCTCAGCTCCTGCTGGGCCTGCTGACACCCAGGAGGGAGGAAGCAGAGTGCTGACTTGCACCATTTGCTGCCGCAGGGGGGCAACAGAAACTCAACTCCACCCTGCCCCCACCAACATCAGTGGAGGTAGGGAGGGAGCTGGAGTGCACCTCACTGGTTAATGGTAGGTGGGGTGGAGGCTCCCCTCCCCACTGGGCCTGCTGAAACTGGGGGGAGGGGGAGGAGGAAGTGGAGTGACAACTACCCTACCTGTACCACCTCTTTCCACTTCGTTGGTGCTGGGTGTGAGTGCAGGCTCCGCTCCCCTACTAGGGGTTGCCAAGGTCCCTAGGAAGTGTGTCTTCCTTCCACTGTTTAGAGTCTTCCTGTGCTTGTGTGTTGTGTTATGTCCAGGTTTTTTTCATTGTAAGAGGGAAGACTGTCTTACAATAGGACTTATAATGGGGCTATTCCATCTTGGCTGGAACCAGAAATCCTGGAACTTTCCTTTTTAAAATAATCAGCAGTTAAACACATCTTATAGTACTCTACTATTTGATAGCTTTGAGGATTCTCAATTGTGTTTTAAATAAAATTCTTACTCCTTGGCTTGACTCATTCCATTCCTTCCAGAAATGGTCCACTGTCTTTCCATTCTCAACTCCTGCTAGCCTTCTACATGCAAACTTTACTCCAGGCCCGTTTATCTTTTCTTGAATTAGCTTGTTCTTTTTTCTTTTTTTCCTCTATCTTTTTCCTACTTTATTTTTTTCTACATCTTCCACCTATCCCCACCCAAATCTTCCTATACCACAAGTCCAGTTCAAATGCTCTGTCTTCCATAAATATTCTCTTTTTCAGTCTAGTGAGAAGTCACTGCTTCTTCTCACAAGCCATATAACATTTACTAACTTTGAGGGAATTGTCATAATCCGTATTATATTCCTGTATTTGTATACATGATTGAACTCCTCTGCTGGACTATAAACTGAGTTATGCTAGAATCATTTTTTTTTTTTTTTTGCGGTACGCGGGCCTCTCACTGTTGTGGCCTCTCCCGTTGTGGAGCACAGGCTCCGGACGCGCAGGCTCAGCGGCCATGGCTCACGGGCCCAGCCGCTCCGCGGCATGTGGGATCTTCCCGGACCGGGGCACGAACCCGTGTACCCGGCATCGGCAGGCAGACTCTCAACCACTGCACCACCAAGGAAGCCTTGCCAGAATCATTTTTGATCCCTTACTATGTGCTAAACACTGTTCTAGGTATTGGAAATAAAAACAGAAAATAAGCAACAACAGCTGTCCTTGAGGAGCTCATA